CTCTCTCTCTCACACACACACACACACACACACACACACACACACACACACACACACACGTCATTTAGCAATCATTGTTACTGCTATAATGCTGGAAAGACATGTGCTTTCCCATAGAACTGCTACAGCAAGAGGGAATTTGCACTTCAACCTGGATGCGACAGAACACTTCGCGTTTCATGTCTCAAACCTAAAAGATTCCTTCTTCGTGGTTTCGTACAGAGTCCTTGCTGGTCCCTTTCTACTCTTATTAGATACCTTCATTTCAGGATTCTTCTTGAGGAAGAGCCCCAGATCTGAGGAGGAAGAAGTTAGGCAATCAGGTCCTTCCTCCCCCAGTCTCTGAATGCTTTCTTCAGATTGATTGCCTCAGTACTCAAATCACGCCAAGGAATATGTGTGTATGACGTGTTGTTGTTGTTGGTGGTGGTGGTGGCTGTGGTGGTTGTATTGAAGGGGATAGAGGGGCAGGAGTGGGGTGGATGGAGTGATGGGTGTGGGGTGGATAGAAGGTGAATGAGGGGTGGAGATGGGGAGGTAGGGAGGGCAGGGTGGGGGTGGGGTGGGGGTGGGGGTGGGGGTTGTGTCATCTGGCATTGCCATAGCAGATGTAAGTTCTGTCATTCCTTTTTCCCTGGGCTGAAGGCTTGGCAATTTGCATATCTAAGGACAACACAAGGTGTTTCCTGTCGCCATACAGACTGACATGCAGCTGGCAGCTTTTCTGCACAGTAAATTAATTAATTTTAAAAATATAGCAGCAGTAGTACATAGAATCTTTATCAGACGGTCTGTCAGAGCACCCCTGACAAGTTTTATTCTGTGGTCCTCACAGTAAGCCTGTGAGATTTATGTGTAGAGGCAGCTCTATCTAAGTTTGAAATATGGCCCTTTCTGGTCATCAAATTGTTTACACCAATGTTTTCAGGCAGAACTGATAAAAGGGAAAAAAGAAAATCTTACATCTATAGGAGCCTGTTTTTAAGGTTTGGAAAAATATTCTAATAATGGCTAGGCCTCTCCTAGATGCAAATGACAAACTCACATCATACTGGGTTATACAAAGCCTGCAGCAAACTGGCTCAAGAACGCCAAAATTCACAAGTATCTGGCTTTGAGCAAGTCTGGACATCAGTGCCCCACCCCCACCTCACTGGGCCTTTTCAGCACTCTGCTCTCCTTGTATTGGCTTAGTTTCCAGGCCTAGCCTCTCCCCCTGGAGACCTCAGAAGCCTCTAGGGCCCTCAGTCTGACAGTCCAGATCAGGAGAGAGGAGACTGTTCTTTCCTGGAAGCTTCAGACCAAGTTCTATGATTGACTATCAAAAAGTCTCCCCTTGACCAAACCCTGTGCAGGTCTGGCTTTCTGGTCAACCTGGTATCATTCAGTTCTACTAAGAACCTTGCTGAGTCAGAATATCCATCCTCCCTGTCTGGTCAGTTTGCTGACCCTGCCTCCCAGCCCTTGACTGACAAGAATCCTATTTGGTCACTGTAGCCAGAAACATTCTATGCTTGGTGTTTCCTTTTAGTAGCTCTCCACTCACTGACCCCAGACTCATTTTTTGTTATTCATTCCCACTTTTCCTGGTATCCAAAGTGGAGCCGAATCTTTCCCTACAGCCAGATCTACTCCCAGTGTCTACCTGATGGTCCCATATAGAGCCTGACTATTTAATAGCTCATGAAACATGTTTTCTTTCAAGGACTCATTGACTACTCAGCTTTGCTTTGGGCCAAGTACTGACTTGTGACACTGTCACAACCCAGTAGAGTTGTCATCTTGAATGTCATAACTTTGAATCCTGAAA